AACATGCTAAAGCACCACACACACACACACACACACACACACACACACACACACACGTTAGAACTAACAAATTCAGCAAAGTAGCAGGATTAAAAAAATGCAGGAAAAATGGGTGCTGCTACTCTACACTAATAATAAAAAAATCCAAAGAGAAAATTATGGAAACAGTTTCATTTATAATAGCATAAAAAATATGATATTTAGGAAGTAAGCTGGAATTCTTTCAGTCTTAAAAAGAAGAGATTCTGGGCTGGGGCTCAGTGATAGTGCACTTGCCTAGCATGTGTGAGGCAATGGATTAGATTYTCAGCACCACATATAAATAAATRAAGTTCTATCAACAACTTAAAAAATATTAAGGGGCTGGGATTGTGGCTCAGCAGTAGACCACTCGCCTAAGAGTGGTGGGGCCGGGGTTCAATCCTCAGCACCACATAAAAATAATGTGTTATGTCCATCTACACCTAAAAAAAATAAAATTTTTTTAAAGGAATCTATTTTTAAAAATTTTTTTAAAGTAAGCAAGTCTTTCCTCAGAAAATGGCTTTTTAAAATAATGTTATTTTGGTCTCTTTGTTTCTTTTAGGAGATCTCCATCTTTTAGKGCTGAAATGTCTACCTTATTAAAAAAAAATGCTTTTTGGATAGAAATAAGGTTCTTTGCAAACTTTAAATGTTTTTTTAAAGACACTTATTAAAAATTTTCACTTATGCTTAGAAAAAAAAAATTTTTTTAAAGAAGAAATTCTGACCCATGTGACAGCACTGATGAACCTTGAAGACATTATACCAAGGGAAATAAGCTAGCCACAAAAACAAATGCTTATGATCCCACTTATATGAGGTATTGAGAGTTGTCAAATTCACACAAAGAGGAAGTATAATGGTGGTTTCCAGGACCCGGGATGGGAAGGAAGTGGTGAAGGTGCTCCCCCTCCCACTGTCTTGACAGGGTCACAGTGAGGATGAATGCTGGCAAACCGAAATCATGAGACCCTTTTTTATGTAATTGGGACTTTTCATTTTCATGCTCATGTTCCTGACAGGAGGCATGAGTATGTTAAATGGTAACCCAAATTAAAATTCAGGTGGCTTGAACATAACAGGTAGTTCATGCCTTGAAGGCTGTTCTACTACCCCTCAATATGACAAGGACAAAATAGAAGGCTGCTCCTCTATCTCAGTACACTGACAAAACTGATAATGGACAACAATCATTCTCTGAAAGGTCATGAGAATTTTAAGCACCACATTGATTATATCAAATAAGAATCCAAGCCCATATTTCCGGCCTCTTAGAAAGCCTAATCATTAGGCTTATTGCACAAAGCCCACCATATGTAGTTTTATTTTTGATTAAGGAAAAGTTATGTTATACACTTAGGAAAGTTAAGACATATGAAGATATATTCTCCTCTTTTCTATAAACCCTCTTTTATTTCACATAGGGACTTATGATGAGCATAGTTAATGTTGGCGGTAAGTGGACTGATGTTTAGAACTTGCCTTTTACTGAGAGAGATTACAAAGATATAAGAACTAGTGCACCTTGGGGCTGGGATTGTGGCTCAGTGGTAGAGCGCTTGCCTAGCATGGGAGGGACCCAGGTTTGATCCTCAGCACCACATAAAAATAAAGGCATTGTGTTGTGTCCATCTACACCTAAAAAATATATTAAAAAAGAACTAGTGCACCTTGACTAAGAAACAAAGAAACTCTTTGAGGAAAGCAGTTCAACCAGTTTTATGAGAATAAATGTAGGAATTAATTAAAGCAACCTTGTAAGACATCGTTTTAGAATAATGATAGAAATATTATTTTGTTTAGATTCTTGGGTTTAGAATTCTTAAGTTTTTAGCTGTATGGCTTTCTGATATGCTTTAAGAATGGTTTATAGAATTTAAGAATGTTTTGTAGACTTTAGGGTATTTTAAKTATAAGATTTAAGGGGATTTATTTAGATGGGAATTTTAGATTAAAAATAAGGTGCAAGTATACTTTAAACTTAAAGGTTAATGATAGGTGAGGAGACTTAGAGTCTGGTTACGTAGTTTGGCATTAGTTAATAAGAAAATAGCATATCTTGGGAAAAATAGTACATCTTCAGAAAAATCTGAAAAATGTAAATTAGTGATGCATTTTATTAACGATTCTGTACCCTTTTCTTAAAGAGAGAGTGAGTGAGAGAGAGAGAGAGAGAGAGAGAGAGAGAGAGAGAATTTTTTAATATTTATTTTTTAGTTTTCGGCAGACACAACATCTTTGTTTGTATGTGGTGCTGAGGATCGAACCCGGGCYGCACGCATGCCAGGYGAGCGHGCTACCGCTTGAGCCACATCCCCAGCCTGATTCTGTACCCTTAATAAATGATAACTAAATGCCACATCCTGGAAAAATGTAAATTGATGTTACATTTTTCCATATCCCTAATGATGGTTAAGAAAATGTCACATCTTAGCAAAGTTTTTTAAATTGTATAATCAATGATGTATTTTGAATCCATAATGATGAGAAAAATTGCAATAAAAGATGACCCAGAGAAAGCTGTGTTAGATTTCTCTCTCTGGAGATTGCTCCAATGGAACAACCCCTGTTTCCCTCCTTTTCATTGATGCCACTCATCCTTCAGGACTCCCTGGACCCCGCTAGGGCASAACCCCATCAAGGAAGGACAATGGTAACTATTATTTAGTTGGTATAGATTTCAGTTTTGCAAAATGAAAAAGAATTCTGGAAATGGATGCTAGTAATGGATGTAAAACAATATAAATATACTTAATACCACTGAACTGTACACTTAACATGATTAAAGTGCCAATTTTTTTTTGCTATGTACTTTAAAACTTCTAATAAATAAAAAAAATTGTGGTGTACTCATCCAACAGTGCTCTGCTCAGCAGTAAAAGGAATGTACTAGACAAAGCCACAACCCAGAGATTCTCAAAATAATTATGCTTTCACATAGTCATTCTCTCCTGTTGAAATCTAAAACAACTTAGTCAACATAATTGTTAAAAGATAATTGTGCTCAATATAAAAGAAATCAGACTAAAAAAGAGTACAATATTTTATGATTCTAGTTATATGCAATTCGAGAAACATTAACAAATCTAGAGTGAAAAAAAAGGTAAATCAATGGCTTTCCTAGGACTGCAGGAAGGGATAATAAAGGGGTATGAGGTAGCTCTATGGGTGATGGATATGTATGGGAGGCCATCCTCACACGTGATTTGAGTTACCTCCCTGGCTGGGCCAGAGGTGCTTAGGCACATCTTGTGTCCAGAGCTTTCCCCACCCTCCTCAGGTCCGAGGGCTTGTCCATGTGGAGACGTGTCTGGCCACTACCCCGAAGTCCCAATTGTCACCCCTGATCTTGGGACACTGCCCCCCTTAATCTTCATTGGATGGGATTTTCCTCCGAATTTTTTGTTCCCCAATAAAAGTCCACTCCCTGGCGTGTTCTCTCTCTCTCACTAGCCTCTTCAGTAAACCTCGCTACCAAATAGGTGGCTGGAGGCTGGAGCTAGGAGGAGCCATCCTGGAGTTAATTTAAAGGTAATTAGAGTCTTGTCTCTTTAATTCAAAACTCCTTAGAGATTTCTCACGTTTCGAAACTTCATTCATGAAGCTGGTGCTGGTCKCGGGCTAAAGATATGTTTAATATCATAATTATGGTTTGATTCCCTGAGTATTTCAAAATTTATCAAATGTGTGCAGGTATAGTCAATTATTGTGTGACAACTATATTTTAACAAGACATTAAAAGAATTTGTTGCACATAAAAATCTGACCACCCATTTTAGAAAACTAGTAGATTTAGTAACCTTTATATTAACTCTGCCATCTCTCTCCTCATGCCTTGGCAAAGAATGTGACATCCATGGAGAACAGGATCCTTTCTCTTAATAGAAAGGCCAGCAATGGCCTTGAGATGCATTGTGCATAGAGCCTACAGTATGTTTAGATTATTTGCTCTCGCAGCAAACTTATTTGTAGGACAGACATGGTAAGATTCTGAGAATTTCAGCAAACCCTGAATTCTGCACAGCCACATTCAAAGGAAGCTTGTGGATGCACTTTTAGTGTAGATCCATTCCTGCTGGTTTGTGATAATCTCACCTATGCCCTATAATCATGCTCCATGTTTCTGTACAAATTGTGGGTCCACCTGGGCTTGGAACATCTTGGTAAAAAGAGACATCTGTTAGCAGATGCTGAACCTCAGGTACCAGTTAAATAGCAACTGCTTAATACTGCTAGGGAAAAAGGGATACATTAGCTCCTGAAAGCTTCCACCTTATCTAGCATCCATAGGAAATCTCCCCTGTGCAGATTATTGGGTGAACAAGGTTCAACATCTGTCTGACATCTCCTCATAGAGCCTACTCTCAGAGCTTCTCTCTGGTGTGTTGTTGTGTTGAACAAAGAGGGACACATCCTCTAAAGTATGAACTGCTCCCAGATGCCTTAGAGGTTGTCACAACTGCCCCCCTCCTTAGGATAACATGGTCATATTATGAAGATTCATAGCATTCAGATTGCAAAAATGGGCTCACCAAGCCACATGATCTTTCCTTAAAACCCCTGGGGGGCAATGCACAAGRCCAGATCTGGGCTGAGTTGTTCTTTACCATCAAAGTGTCCCTTCTGAGGCAGTAAATTTGGAGGCACACACAACACTTCTTTAATTTAGTAGACATTTGTTCTGTTCTCATCCCACTCCTAACAGTGATCAGAACACAGAGATTAAAGGTGGCTTTATTAATAAAGCCCTTATTATCACACAAAACAGCAATGTGCAGTAGGTATTTGGGCCAGGTAACACAGAGGCTGAATAAGTCCATCACAAGAATCACATTAGACCAATGTCCCTGAAAGAGGGAAACCTTTTCTGCAAGCTGCCAGCAGAACCCCACTCAGGTCTTCATGGCTAAAAATGGATCATGTCCACAGATAAATCTGCCACAGGGGAAGGGAAGGACATCTTCCAATGGCCTCAGGCTACTGATCATTCTCTCCAGGGAGCAGAAAGAGCTCTGCCTTCCCTGAGTGCTGTGGAGAGGCTGACATACACTTTGGAGGTCTGTCAGTGGGAGAGCTTCTGTTATAAATCCTCACAGTGACAGAACTCTGATAACATTCACCATCGGAAAATGCAACTCAGCTCCTGGAAGCTTCCACCATATCGAGCATCCATAGGAAATCTCCCCAGTGCAGGCTATTGGGTGACCAAGGTTCAACATCTGTCTGAGAGCTCCTCATAAAGCCTACTCTCAGAGCTTCTCTCCGGTGTATAGTGTTGTGTTGAACAAGGAGGGAGTACATTCTCTATATTCCTTTTTCTGGCGTGAATTTTCTGATGCTGAATGAGGGTGGGCCTTCGGCTGAAGGCTTTCCCACATTCATTACACTCATAAGGCCTGTCTGGTTTGTGAACTTCCTGGTGCTGACTCAGATTTGACCTTTGTTTGAAGGTTTTCCCACATTCACTGCACTCAAAAGGACGTTCACCAGTGTGAAGCCTCTGGTGGTTATTGAGGCTGGAGCTTTTGTTGAAGGATTTCCCACATTCACTGCACTGATATGGTCGTTCACCAGTGTGAAGTCTCCGATGGCTATTAAGACTGGAGCTTTGGCTAAATAATTTCCCACATTCATTGCACTCATAAGGCCGTTCACCAGTGTGAACTCTCTGATGTTTCATGAGGTCAGCGCTTCGGCTGAAGGCTTTCCCACATTCATTACACTCATAAGGCCTGTATGGTTTGTGAACTTCCTGGTGCTGACTCAGATTTGACCTCTGTCTGAAGGTTTTCCCACATTCACCACACTCAAAAGGCCGTTCACCAGTGTGAAGCCTCTGGTGGTTATTGAGGCTGAAGCTTTTGTTAAAGAATTTCCCACATTCACTACACTGATATGGTCGTTCACCAGTGTGAAGTCTCCGATGGCTATTAAGACTGGAGCTTTGGCTAAACAATTTCCCACATTCGTTGCACTCATAAGGCCGTTCACCAGTGTGAACTCTCTGATGTTTCATGAGGTAAGAGCTTCGGCTGAAGGCTTTCCCACATTCACTGCACCGAAAAGGTCGTTCACCAGTGTGAACGGTCTGGTGTTGAATGAGACTAGCAATGTGTCTAAAGAATTTTCCACATTCATTGCACTTATAAGATCTTTCCCCAGTGTGAACTCTCCAATGTTTAATTAGGCTGGAGTTGCAATTGAAGGATTTCCCACATTCCCTGCATTCATGAGCATTTCTACCAGTGTGAATCCTCTTATGATGAATGAGGTTGGAGCRATGGCTAAAGAATTTCCCACATTCACTGCATTCATATGGCTTTTCTCCAGTGTGAACCCTCTTATRTTGAATAAAGTTGGAACTTCGGCTAAAAAATTTCCCATAGTCGCTGCACACATGAGGGCTTTCACCAGTGTGAACTCTCTGATGCTTTATGAGACTGGAGTTTTGGCTAAAGAATTTGCCACATTTGCAACACTCATAAGGTTTTCCTCTGCTGTGAACCCTCTGGTGTTGAATGAGACYGGTAACATGGCTAAAGAATATTCCACACTTGCTGCATTCATAAGGCCTTTCTCCAGCATGGATTCTCTGGTGCTGAACAAGTGTGGATTTGTCACTCAAAAATTCACCGTCCCTGAATTCACAGCTCTTGTTATGTCTTTGCATAGTTTGAGAATCCACTGCACCTTCACTGCTCCCGTGTGACTCCTCCACACTTGGAGTGACATGATGCTGCAGAGAGCCTGATGTGGTCGCAAAGTCCTTCCTGCTGTCCCTGCACATGAAAGTCTTCTCTGATGTGTGGTCTCTGAAGGTCTTCATAGGACAGGCCCTGCTTTCCTCCCTTCTGACAGACCTGTCTGCATTCTGCTGGGCCTGTTTCTGGAGAGGACTTGCATCGACCTTGAACCCTCTCCCATTCACCTCACACATGGATGGCTTCTGCCTGGGATATGTTGCCTGGCAGTCTTTCAACTGTAGGCTATACGTGTCACAAGGGTAGGTCTTCTGGGTAGATAGAGCTGCCTTGGAATTCCTGTCCTGTGAAACTCCTTCTACAGAGACTCTTTGTTCAGAAGGTAGCTTCTCACCCTCTCTTCCATGGCAAAAATCTGCAAACAGAGCAATGCTAGTGAAATTCCTATAAACTTTTATGAAAACACCCCAGTACATATCCTTGTCTAACCCTGGAATAAGTCCATAGAATTGTTGGTAAGGTGAGAGGCCTCAGGACAAAGTAAAAAACGYTATGCTCTGTAGTCTTATGCTTGACCAAGTCACAAGACAAGAGAGGCCTTATTAGAACCAAGAACAAAAGAATGGGGTACAGTACAGGGTGGAGAGGCCGTATCTCTAACTCACTTCTCTCCAAAGCCTTTCAGCCGGGTCTTCACTGCTGTAAACCTTTGAGGGCTATACATCAGGCTAGGCCTGGGAAAATCTGATTCCAACTGAGTTTTCAAGCACTTAAAGGAAATATGCATATCTCAGGATTTTCAAAATGGAATCCAACACTGGAAAGTGCTTCTGAGGAAGCTGTAGCAAGGAGGAGACGTGGAGGCCAGAAAGGTGGGGCCCAGCCAGGGACCCAAAGTCAGAGCAGAGATGCCAAGTGGGCAATAGGGAAGGAAAGGTAGAGATGAGTGCGGCCACTGGCTTTGGCACTAATGATGGAATATAAGAAAAATGGTGGACTATTTTGAACACACTATTGACACCCCATCCTCCCCAGCTCCCACTCACCAGATCCAGGCCTGCCATAAGCCCCTCTTGCCATGGCCGTTGTCATATCCACTCTGTCAGGCACCCAGGGCTCTTTCCCCATATTCAGTTGGGCAACTATGTGGGACCTGAAAGATGTAAGTCCTGAGGGAAAGACAAGGAAGGTCAGTGGCCAGCACCTACCTGGGGGAACTAACCCACATCAGATCACAGAAAACTCAATATTACAAAACGAACACACAGAGGAAGTCTGGCAGGAATATCCAGGGAGCAAGTAGCCACCACTTGGAATTTCTGGCACTCAAGCACAGGAAATGTCAGCAAGGGACAGCAGAACCCAAACCACTGTCAGGGATCTAGACGACCATCCAGGTGAGGAGTGGMCAAATCAGATGGGCTCTACCAGGCTGACTGCTAGGTTCCTTGTGCCTGAACACTTCTCTGCAAGGCTCAGGCAGCAGGAGTGGGGCTGATCCGGGACACGAGGATACTGCACACAGCTCCGCCCTGGAACCCACAACACATGGACTGGAAAGTGGAAGCAGTTCCCATGGTCTGGCTGTGAGAAGGAAAGAGCTGTCCCTTGAGCAAAGGGGACAGGCAGAGACAAGCTCAGGACACCTAGGAGGACATAACGGCCTTACCCAGTGAGGCTGTGAGTGCAAAGTTCTCCAGCATCACATCACAGTAGAGGAGCCTCTGAGCCTCGTCCAGCAGTCCCCACTCCTCCTGAGAGAAGTAAATGGTCACGTCCTCAAAGGTCACACAGCCCTGCCACGATGAGGACATTTCATTCAGTCTCTCTCCTCAGCATGCCCTACCCGTCCCCTGCTCACCCTCCTCCCTCACCCTGCTCCCCAGCTCCAGGAAGACACCAGGCCCAGTTCCTGCTGGCTCTTTTCTCCTGCTCCACGTGACCACTCTGTCAGCCCACAGATGGCCACGGAGCCGTGGGCACCGGGACACCATCTAAGCTCTGGCCCTAACCTGGAGGGGCTAAACCCCTCTTCAACCCCCTTCCCTAGTGCCATCCACATTGTGCTTCTCAGGCTCAAACAAAAGGGGGCTCCGTCTTTTCCCCTAATCCCCAGTGTGGATCCCCTCGGCCAAGAGCTCACTCCTGGGTGCGCTTCACTCCTTGAACAACTCTGGACCTCACCACTCCATGCTCGCTGTCACAGCTACCCTCTCCCCTGTCCACAGCACAGCCATCTCCATGGACTCCCAAATGTCACTCTGCACATGGCACCCAGAGAGTGCTTGACAAATACAACCATGATCCCATTCTGCCCTGGGCCTTTGGTGTCACCCACCGCCAAAAGTAACCTCACCTCTGCTTCTGAGACCTGACCTGCTCCTGGCTTCAACATGAACCACCCGGAGCATACAGAGATGAGGGGTCARGTGCACTTGGCCCCCTCTGTGTTCATCACTCACACTCAAAGCCAATCCCTCTGCTCTTCCTACTCCCATCCACAGTCTAGATCTTGAATGTCCCCCAAAGTCCCATATGTTGACAACTTGGTCCCCAGCCTGTGATGCTATTGGGAGGGGGTGGAACCTTTAGGAGGTGTGGCCTACTGGAAGGAAATTAGGTCCTTGAAGGGCACATTGGGATCCCAGCCCCTCCTCTCGCTTTGCTTCCTAGCCATCATGAGCTGAACACACCTTCTCTTCCACAAGTACCACCATGATGGACTATGCATGCACGCTCAAAGCAACAGGGCTAAGCCATGATGGACTGAAACCTCTAAAACCATGAGATACAACAAACCTTTCTTCCTTTTAAGCTGATTACCCCAGGATTTTGTCACAGCAATGTAAAGCTAACTAATACATCCCACCATCCCACAGCAACAATTGTTGCTGGCAACAATTCCAACTAATTACCTACCCCTGAGCCCATTCCTCAGCCTAACTGAAAATCCCCAGGTTCCATTAAGGGTCACTACAAAATTCTGGTAAGAACAGGGAGTGGATAAGGACAGCCCAAACCTCACTGGAGCGTTACTTCTCTGATTACCAAGCCTCAATATCCATCTCCTATCTATGTCACTTACCAGATGCTTTTATCCCACAAGGCACCCCTCGCCATGACCACCACTCTTCCTCATCCATTTTTGTGATGCCAAACAAGCCAAGCAAGATGTCCTACTCTCAGTTCTCCAGCCACACCTTACTCTTACCAGGATTGTCACCATGACCTGAAGATTCCATCCTCTTAAATCTGCCACCTATCTTCACTCTTGTCGACACATGGATGCCACAATTTGGATGTTTTGCAGAGAGAGAGAGAGGAGAGAGAGAGAGGAGAGAGAGAGAGAGAGAGAGAGAGAGAGAGAGAGAGAGAGAGAGAGAGAGAGAGAGAGAGAGAGAGAGAGAGAGAGAGAGAGAGAGACCCCCAAACAAGAGAAGCAAGGGCTATTTCTTCAGAGCTGGCTAAACCAAGGGAGTCAGCCTCCATTGCTGAGGGTTTGGCAGAGGCTCAATGGGAGGCAGAACTGGGGGAAAGCATTATAATGGAGAACAAGGAGAGCTGCAGGTATGCCCTGACTGGAGGCAAAGGGCGAGGCTGGCGGATGTTGTTTGTAAGTGGACTCGCCAGAAGCAGGGCAGTCTGTATGATGGGTCGGGGGAACACATTTGGCTTTTTGTGTTTGGTCCTAAGTTGGACATAGGAACAACAATCACAGCTGTCAGTTATTAATCAAGCCTGGACCACACAGGTGGCCAATTGTCACTGAAGTTGTTACTTAATTAGCTGGACTATCACTAGAGATGGCAATCTGGCTTCCTGCAAGTCTGACTTGCAGCAGGCTGGCCTCCTGGGGTGTGTATGAACATGATGGGGTGGTTTCCTGGGCAGGTTTTGGGACAGAGTGCCACTTTTACATATGGTCTGGCCATTGTTCAGTTTGCATATTGTTCTCATGCCCTTAATTAACACCTCTCCCTCCCCCGCCCGAACATATATTATCCATCCACTCTTCAAATCCACTCAGAATCTCAGGAACATCAGAGATTCAACATAGCTAAAACCTAACCTATTTCCACCAAAAATTCTCGCTAGAACCAACCTTCTCTCTCAGTTACAAGATCATTCATCCTTCCTGCAGCTAAATCCCAGAAYCATGGTGTCATTTGTCCTCCTTCTCAACTGCCCATCAGAAAGTCTGCTCAGCAGATCCAGAATCCACCTGCAGTTCTTCTACTGACCTGGACTACTGCAGTGGGCTACTTCTTGGCCTGCCTGATGTCCATCCTCACCACACATTCAAGTTTCCATTCTGCATTCACAGGGAGTCTGGTTAAGATCCAAGTCCTACCACCTTCATCTGCCGCAGTCCGGCTGGGCAAAATAATCCAGAGGTGACAAGCAACTTGAAGGTTAAAAGGGGAACTACTTTATTGCRAGTGAACTCAGCAGGAACTGAGCAAGAACTCAAAGTAGCTGGCACCCAAGGTAGCAGGAGCCGCTTCTCTGCGGGACAGCAGAGGTACATATACCCAAATAATTACACACAACTTAACTCAGTTAACATTATCTAGATACAGCAGTCAGCCAATAAGGAATCCTCATCATCTTAATGGCTCCCTGGCATTGCTTCACAAACCACTCCTCCTGGCAAACTGCCAGGCACCATCTTGACTTGATTTGCATCCCCAACATTCATCCTCTGCTCTAAATCCTCCAGGGCTCCCAGCACCTTCTGGGTGGGCTGCCTGGTTCCTGCAGACACAGAAACAGTAACCTCACATTTCCTGGCTCCCAACTCACTGCACACAAATACACACCGACCCTCACAAACACTTGTACATGCAGGTTCCTGTGGGCAGAAAACCCTTTCTCACCCTTCTGAGTGCAGAAATGGAAACTGCTCTATGTAATTCCTGGCCTGCATTCCAGGACCCTAAGCCTGGAATGACGTTCCCTGCCCCCCCACCCAGGATTCTCTGACTTAAGCAGGGAGAGGAGGGCCAGGACCAAGAGGGTGGGGATCCCACCACAGACGGTCTGAAGACCCCCTGCTCACCTGCCCGGGGTCCATCAACGCCGCCACAGCCATCGAGGCCTGGGAAAGGTCAGAGGCAGGTGACAGAGGTGGCTCTCAGGGACTCAGCCCCACCACCACCTATCCTGCCAGGCCCGGGTGAGACAGGACCCCGGGCTGAGGGTGGCGCTGCCGTCCCCAGTGCCCCCTCCCTAAGCCGAGTAAAAGGCGCACGCGGCCCCGGCCGCCTCTGCGGGCGCGGAGAGCGCGCCGACCTCCAGACCCCGGCGGACACCCCAGTTCCAGGGGGCCCCGGCTGGTGCAAAGGCGGGACGGAGGGTCCGAGCTTCCCCGTCCTTCCTGCACGATCCGGAAAAGCCCCCCGGGCAGGGTCAGCGGCTAGGCCCCACGTTCCCACCCGATCCAGGGTCTCCGGCTGCGGGGACTCAGAGCCGACACCGGGAAATGACTCGCCGGACGGTCGCGCAGGAAGTTCCGGCCTCCGCGGCCAGAAGTAAAGACGCTCTCCTGCAGCCGGAGGCAGGGCGCCAGCCGCCGATGCACCAGCTGAGCCCCAGGACCCGGTCTCCGTCCCGCCCAAGGCCCGGCAGCGAGGGCGGGGCGAGGGCGGGGCCTGGGCGGGGCCCGGGAGGCTCCGCCCCCTGCGCCGGGCCGTCCCTGTTTTCCTCTTAAAGGGACCGTTCCCAGCGCTAGGTCACGCCCCGGACGGATCCCGCTCCCCTCCTGCCGGTGTGGGTATTGGTGAGCCCTTCGCCCCTCACTCAGGGATCTAGATTCACATTGAAAACTGAAGTTAATACCTGATTGGCGGATCTTTGTGTACGAATATTAAATGTTCTAATTCAGTCCTTCTCAAACCAGGACATTGGCATCGCCTGGGAATTTGTTGAAATGCAAGAATTGGAGACAACAATACAAACTTAAGGACTCYGAAATTCTAGGAATGGGGTTCAATGCCTTAACAAGCCATCTGGGGCGATCAAGCAATCTTTGATTGCTCCAATTTGAGAACAGGGACTCTCTAAAATCCAGTATATAAAATGGGAAAAATAACACTACTCACATCTAATGGGTAACAGGATACATGGAAGGTACATAGTTTCTGCTTTATATAAAAGTTACTGCTATCATCATCATCATCATCATCATCATCATCATCATCCCAAGACTCACAAACAGGGCTGTGAAAGGGCATTAAAAGACCCTTCTCAGCAAGGTCATTTAGGGTATTTGTCAAAATATAAAATACAATACTCTCTGACTCAGTAAATACATGAAGGCATAAGGTTGTATCCCTTGGGTCCTTTCATATTATTTTCTCATTCTTCTTTTATGAGATGCATTTGTTTTTTTTATTTTTAAATTGATTTTAAAATGGCCTGTGTTTATTATGTACAGGATGATATTTTAGAAATAAGCATTGCAGAATGGCTGAATAGAGCTAACTGGCATATGCATTACCTCTAAGAAACAGGAGCTTTTGGCTTCATACAGTCACTCTAAATGGGTGCTGAAAAGGGGCCACCCTGCCATGTTGTTGGTACAAAGGACCATCTTATGGAGGTTCAGGAGAGGAGCGTACATTGCCTGGGCCTTATCTAGCACCCTAACCATCCTGATGTCCCATTAGCTTCACCTCCTAATACATGCCAGATTGTCCCCTTCCCATCACCTCCAACACTACCACCCTGGGCCAGTTCACTGTTAATGTACTCCTGAACAGGGGAGTGGACACCTCCCTGGGACCCCCATCAATTCTTGTGTTCTTCATACAGCATCCAGAGTCAGATTTAATCAGATCATGTCACTGGTTAAAAGCCTTCCTTGGCCTCCAAACAGAGGTAGAATAAATCCAGATTTCTCATTGTGATCCACAAAGCCCTGTGATCTGGCCCTGCCCTTTCCTCTCTCCCTTCTGGACACACTGTTGTTCACCTGGACCCTGCAATAAACTAAGTTGTCACCTGCCTCTGCATCTTGGCATGTCCCGTCCTTTGCCGGGGATGTTTTCTCTTTGAAACCATCTGTTCAGGCATCAAATCACCTCATTTCCTGTCTATTCACCTCATTACTGCTCTATATCCCCTATGGTACAGTTTAATTTTTTAATCTCTGTTCTTATCTTATTTTGTGTTGCTATAACAAAATACACTAGGCTAGGTGCTGAGGGCCATTGCCAAGTAGGTATGACGCATTGATATTTCCTTGCCAGCGTACCCCATGTTAAATGGACGTGTCTTGGAAATTTGCTGCGACCTTGCATGTGTGTTTGAGAAAGATGACCCTGCTCAAGGTGATGGAGGGTGGATCCAGGTTTGAGGAAGTATCCTGCAGGTTTGAGGAAGTATCCTGGTCCTTGGGTTTAGGGTGTTCCCGGTTTAAGGCGTTTCCCGGTTTAAGAATATGGGTTTTAGGGAAGTTGGAGGTTGAAGATTATTGCTGCTGGGATTAGGGTGTTCCCGCTGCTTGTTCCCGTTGAGTTCTCTGAGATTCAAATGGGATTTGGAAAAAAGCCTCGTGGAGTAGGTGATTGGGGGTGGCGGCATATTGGAGATTTGGAGCAGAATGTGTTTGTAGACGGCCGGTGTGAGTCCGGGAATAAAGATTGCTGTTTGAATCTCCAAGGTGTGTGGTGGCTCGTGATTCTGGTGCCCAGCCAAGACTGCGGCAGCTAGGTACTTTACAAAGAAAACAGATTTATTTGGCTCATAATTCAGGTGCTTGAAAATCCAAATAGCATGATACCAGCATCTGGCAAGGGCCTACCTGACAGTGTCACAAAGGGAAGAAGTCATGTGCAGAAGGGGCCAACCACATGGGGTGGCCTTGCTTTATAACAACCTACTCTGTCTCGAGAACTAATTCACACTTGTGAGACCCAACCTACTTAAGAAGATCAACACTAATCCTTCCTAAGGTTGGTACCCACAGGACTAGTCATCTTCCACTGGGCTCCACCTCTTTAAGATCTACCACCTCTCTTTACCATTGCAATGAGGACCAAGCTTCCAATACCTGAACCTTTGGGGAACCAATCATGTGCAAACTGTAGCACCACTTTTAACATGAGGACACTGAAGCCCAGGGAGAAGTGGCATGCAGGAGGCCATTCAGCTGGTAACCATCATAATCCAATCAGCTGGAATCACAGTTTATCCCCAGAGTATAAATTCTTTCCCACTAGACCATTCTTTGCCCTCTGCACCTGCCCTTCCATACCCAAGTTCCGATTCCCCTGTCCTTTGTGTTTCTGAAGGCCACAGGATTCAGTCCTAGTGGAAGTGCTGATTCCCTGCGCCTTTATGAGTGTTGCCCACACTACACAGTGAGTTCCCTCCCTGCTCAAGGCCAGGCCCCATGCCTCTGCCCCCATGTGTTCCAGCTCCCTTCAGAGTGCCCAGGACACAGCATATGCCCATGTGTGCTGCTGAGAGCCATAGCCGAGTCCGAATGACACATGGCATTTTTCCTGTTGTAAAAGGAACCTTCCAGATCTGGAAATAAAGACCCTGGACTAAGAACCGTGGTGCTTCAAGACAGGGCTTTCTTGGACTCTCTCAAACCCAGGTATCAGCAACTGGCACAGTAGTGGGTACTGTGTTGACAGTGAATGAGGACAGCGCAGGCCGCGGTTCCCAAAAGATAATTCCCTTCTCAAAAAAAATAGAAAACTATACACACTGTCATTTAATATGATAACTCTATTAACTCCTTGAAAGGAGAAAACCTGTACAATAGCAATACATAATATAAAGTTCCTGCCCACAATGATGAGGCCAAACTAGGAATGTTTTCACTAAAAACTCCTAAGGAGGGTTTACAGTAAAGAGATTATTATTTTTATATATTTCTTTGTAATATGTTTCTACCTTGAGATAACACTGATCATATCATATATCTTGGCAAATACTTTTAAAGAAAATACCAAGGAAAGAGCCCCCAAAATATTCCATGGTAGAAACCTATATGCACCTACATATTTTTGTCTGGCCAGGCTCTTAAAATTCTAGTCATGTTAGACCAGGACGCAAGAAAAGAYCACTGACTCCAATTAAAATCAAATTAAAGCAAGCTTATTATTTYGACCGGCCGGGCTGCCTTTCCCTCCCAAAACGGCGGGAACAAGACAGCCCTGAGGCTTCTTTGTGGCCTCGTTTTATAGCCCAAAAAGTTACACAAAGGGGGGGTTACAGATAACAACACTCTGAGGAGCATAACACAAGTTTACATTTTTGCTGGCCCCGGCATCAGAATTTATGGA